CCCCCAGCCACCACAGCAGCGGGTGAACCTCTCCCGGGTAAGGCAGGGGCTCTGCAGACCCCCAAAGCCGCTTTGCAGAGCTGCGGGAGTCTCAAGGCACGTGCCTCTCTCTTCCCTTCCCCAGTGCTTCAGCTCCGATGAGCTTTTTGCCATCCACAACCTGAGCGAGGGCTCCGCTGTGGGGCACAGCGAGTTCAAGGAGTTTTGCCCCACCATCCTGCAGCAGCTGGAGTCTGGGGCGTGTGCCTCCGAGAACCTGGAAAACGAGGAAAATGAGCAGACGGAGGAAAGCAGACCCAGCTCAGCCGAAGGTAAGCAGGGAACCGGGAGGGGCACGAGTGCTGCCCGGCCCTGGGCACAGAGCTTGGGGACATGAGGCACGTCAGGACCTGTGGGACACCCAGTCCCCATTCCCGGCTCTGGGGCGCAGGCAGAGTCTGGCAGAGACAAGAGGAGGCAGCTTGCCTGCAGCTGGAGTCCTGACGGGTTTTCCTCAGTGTAGTCTGTGCTCTGGGCTTGCAGTGTGGTTTTGCCCCTGATCGCACACGCCGCGGGTCAGAGCTTGCCGGCAGCACGGCTATACAGGATAGCTGGATATTGGGGACCTTGCTGCAAGTCCTTGTGGGTGGGAGGGGGTGGCTTGGCACGTTTAGGGACCCGCTGGCCTCCAGCCACCAGCGGATGCTGAATGAGCTTCCATGCATTGAAGGAGCTTCCAGCCATCCAGGTCCTGACGATGTCCAAGGTCTTGGATCGGCTGCCCTGAGCACAGCACTGGCTTCTCCCATGCCACGAGGCTGGGGCTGGCTCGGGAAAGCCTCTTCCAAGTAACCTAGTGGCTTCGTTTCCACCTGCCCTGCAACAAAAATGACCATTTGTGTCACAGTTGAAGCGTCCAGAGCAAAAGGAGAGACACTCCGGTGCACTGAGGCCGGCCCCGGCGTGGGGGCATAGACCCAGAGCAAGCCTTTTCCTCCTGCCTGGATCCGGGGTCTTGGGGTCCTCCCCGTCTCCCCACGCCGAGAGCCTCGGTAATGTCTGGCCCTCGTTTCTTCTCGTTCCGCAGCGTGGGGCTTTGGTTTTCTCAGTGTGTCAATGATTAACGTGGCCTCCTTGCTCGGAGTCTTCATCGTACCGTGTACCGAGAAGGCCTTTTTCAGCCGGGTCCTCACATTTTTCATCGCGCTGTCCATCGGCACGCTGCTCTCTAACGCGCTCTTCCAGCTCATCCCAGAGGTGCAGTAGAAAGTCCCTGCCTCTATCCCGTCTCCGAGGGCAGCTCTCCGGGTGCCCTGTCTGCCTCCACCCTGCCGAATCGAACCGATCCCTCCATCACCCGAGGCTGAGGGCTTGTCTCAGGGGCTCCGCAGGGCTTTTCTCGCCCCTCCGAGCACCAGGAAACCCTCTCAAGTGTGCAGGCAGCGTGGGGAGGCTGTGCCCTCCAGCCCTGCCGGTCCTTGCAAGGCTGCTGGCCAGGTCTGAGGTCCAGGAGGGTGCTGGGAAAAGCCGTTTGCTCCTGTCCCGTGGGCTGTGTCTGCTTTGCAAGGGAGTTTCTCCCTCGGAGGGATGTGCTTCGTGCAGAGCTGCCTGGCTCCGAGGCTGCTGAGATGCGGCAGCACTCGTGGTGTGAGCTGGAGGGAGGGACTTGCAAGGCGGAGGAAATATTGGTATAAAAGCACAGAGAACAGCCCGGACAAGCACCAGCTCCCTCCCCAGTCAGCCAGCTTTTACAAACGTTTTAATTGCCTTTCCCCCCCTGCTATTTACAAAACCGATGTTCCCACAAGGATTTATGCTTACGTGAGGTTTCCTGGTGCTCTGATGGGCCCGACAGATATATCGCAAATTAATTATGTTGTAATTGCACAGTTCCGGAGTTGAATAAATACACCCACGCACTCTCAGATTGGACACCTTTGAAATATGCGTGCTTCGTTGGCCCCCTGGTCCAGGCAGCTTCACAAAGCCCTTCCCCATCTCCTGGGGAGGAGACGAGCTGGATCTGAGCTCCTGCACATCCAGCCTTAAAACTCTGCATTTAAGGTGCAACCTTCCTTCTGAGCAGAGCACCCTTTGCTGCCGCTGGGTTTTGCCCCCCGGCGTTGCCCGCTTTGCTCTCGGGCAGCGAACGCCTTGTCCATGTTGGTGGGGAGATGTTTTTTCAAGGCTCCTTTTCAACTCCAGAACTGCGACTTTTATTTGCCGAACATAAAAACTAAGCACCTGTGTTTCCTGATCTGCCAGGAACTGAAATGACTTACATACGCTCCACCCTCGCTGTCAGTCGGAGCATCCCAGTCCCAGCCGGCTTGCGGTGACCAGCCGCATCTCTCTGGGCTGCAGGATGAGGATGGAGCGTACGAGATGCTCAGGGGATCTTGGCGCTCTGTGGCTCTGGAACGGCTACCCGGTGTCCCGTGGGGGCTTGGGGAGCAGAGCTGGGGTGCTGGCTCTGAAACAACCTGGCTGCCAAAACTCAGCTTCGTCCCGGTGCTAAAAGAGAGCTGCTTGCTCCAAGGGAGGGCTCCTCTCCTCGAGCTCTGCAGCGGGGTTTCCCTCTGACCCTTCCCAAAGAGCTGTTTCCAGAGCCGCTCAGCACCAGGTTCACCCCTCTTGAACCAAAGCCAGATGAACAAGCAATCACTAATGAATGTCCTCTTCTCTCCCCCCTTTCTCCCTCCCTCCTCTCTCTTTCGGCGTGGATTCCTTCCCCTCCCTCCCCTTCCCCACGTTGATCTCCCTTCCCTCCGACAACCTCCCGTCGTCCGATTCCCCGGGGTGGGTTTGGCACGCATGCCGCAGTCTGGGGTTACGGTTTCCTCTGCGTGACCGTCATCTCCCTCTGCTCGCTGGTGGGAGCCAGCGTGGTGCCCTTCATGAAGAAGACCTTTTACAAGCGGCTGCTCCTCTACTTCATAGCTCTGGCGATTGGAACTCTCTACTCCAACGCCCTCTTCCAGCTCATTCCCGAGGTAGGGTGAGGACCGTTGGGTCTGTCCTTTTTTCTCTCTCGGGGGCTGTTTCTCTCTCTCTGGGCACTCGCTGGCTGGAGAAGGGGAAGGCGGCGTCGGAGGGGAGTCAAGAGCGAGGTACAGAGGCTGGAAGCCCCTCGGGACCGCAGTCGGAGCTGGCGTTTCACCCCTCTTTGGAAGGGAATCGCTCCAGGGAGACCTCCACTCTGCTTCAAGCAGAGCAGCGCTGTTTTATTGCCCTTTCTAGCCCTCCAGGCAGGTCGCCTTTATGCCGAGACAGCGGAGGCTTTCTAAGCCTGCTTTTAGCATCCCTGCACCGGTGCAGGATGGTGGATCCAATGCCTTGGGGCACAGTTGGCTTGGCTGGGGGAGCGAGGGAGATTAAAGGTGCACGAAGGCATTTTCTGAGCTTGCCCCCAAAGCAGCTGCTGCTTAGAGAGAGGTCAGAAAGCAGCAGCGTCCCCTTTTGCCTGCAGGCGTTTGGATTCAACCCTCAAGAAGCTTATTACGTTTCCAAATCTGCCGTGGTGTTCGGGGGCTTCTACCTCTTCTTCTTCACGGAGAAGGTCCTGAAGATGCTCCTGAAGCAGAAGGACCAGGTGAGGCTGAGCAGGGGCTGCTCAGAGCGTTGCTCGGGTGGGAAACGGCAGAAATGGCAGGGGTGGCTGACACCCGTGAATCCCCCCTGTCCCACAGCATCACCACGGGCACAGCCACTACGGCCCCGAGGCTCTGCCGTCCAAGAAGGACCAGGAGGAGGGGGTGACCGAGAAGCTGCAGAACGGGGACCTGGACCACATGATCCCGCACATAACCAGCGAGCTGGAGTGCAAGACTCCCTCCGGGGATGAGAAGGTTGTGGTGGGCTCCCTCTCTGTCCAGGTTAGTGCCCCCTCCCATGGGGTTAGGGGTGGGCACGTGGAAAAAAAACCTGCCTGTCAATGAAAAAGAGCAGTTATGAAGCCCATTGCACCTCCCTGACAAAATCCTCCATGAGCGGTGGAAAGCAAACTGCTCGGGTCAAGCCTTGTGTCTTGATTTAATGCGCGGAGGGGTGGGTTTCCCTGGCCAGTGGAGGGAGCAGTGCCCCCCCCCCCAGACCAGCTGGGTGCTGAGCCCCCGCTGTCGGGGTGCCATGGCAGGACCTGCAGGCTTCCCAGAGCGCGTGTTACTGGCTGAAGGAGGTGCGGTACTCCGACATCGGCACGCTGGCGTGGATGATCACCCTCAGCGACGGCCTCCACAACTTCATCGACGGGTTGGCCATCGGGGCCTCCTTCACCGTCTCCGTCTTCCAAGGGATCAGCACCTCCGTGGCCATCCTCTGCGAGGAGTTCCCGCACGAGCTGGGTACGTGAGTCCTCAGGGAAAGGTGCTGCGAGGGCTCTCGGATCTGCCCCTCTTTAAGGCTAACCCTGCCGCTTTCCTGGTCCTACCCGTTGTTTCTCGAGGGAAAGGCAAACGTGGGGTGGAATAAACAGAGTAATGATGGGGGGGAAGGCAAGGCTGTAAACTACACTGAGTAATCACAGCTCTAAAAATAACGAGGTAATATGATGTCTGAGCTTTAAATTTAGACGGAGACATCTGAAGGAAAAAAAACCAACACCTCGTTGGTTTGGGAGGGGGGAGGCGGGCAGCGGTTTGGGTTTGAATGTCCAAATTTATGCGTGGGCAGGGCCGGGAGCTGGC